ACACACACACACACACACACACACACACACTTAAACACACGCACACACAAACACACACACACACACACACACACACACACTGACACAAACGTGAACACACTTGCATCCTCGAATACACCTACAGAAAAAAGGGCAATCTATCCACCAGGACACTTGCTATGATAGTGATAGCGAGGAAGAGGACACTATCAAGGCCACCACTGACTAGGCAAATATGTGAGATAAACGTTCATACAACAACAAAAATTGACACTCATTGTCTACAAAGCTGTATTACAACGTGTAATATTCTTGGAGCGCAGCAGTTCTTGGATATCCGAATAGATCTGGAAAAACTCGTGTTCTGTGTGGTTTACGCTCGAAATCCTTAAATTCAGAACAAAATCGCAAGCAGAAGCTTTTGAGTCGCTCCAGTGTGAAAATGCCGGGTGTCCTCGGGGCGTAATGCCACACTTCCCGGCAAGCAGTCCCGTGACGTAGACGTCTTCTAGCTGCAGCCAATCAAAAGTCTTGGCTCGAGCTTGCATAATACAGGAAGCAGCTGAGAGGGACATCACGTAAGCGCCCCCAAATACATACGGCGGATACGTGGGGAAAGGAAAATCCAAGAAACTCACAGACCACTTGTCACCGAAGTCTCGTATGACCGATGAGTTCACACACACAGCTCCCAGAATTTGTGAGGAATTTATCACATTGGAGCGCAGTTCTTGGATCAGATAAGGTACGTTGAGTATTGTGTCATCATCGACTTTCATAACAAATTTCGGTTTGGGCGCTTGCCGCAAAGCCCAAACAAATCCTTCTAAGACTTTGTTAGGTAAGTATTCGTAGGTGTCCTGCTCTTCTATAATGACGAGATCATTATGCATCCTAGATTCTCTGTCAACGATGTCATCCCAGTGCTCATCTCGCCCCACCAAGAACTGAACCGTTGCTCCCATCTCGCTGAGGTTGAGCCCCCACGTTTTCCGAACGGCCTGTCTGAACAGAACGTTGTTTGGCCGAGAAACTACCAAAATAGCGAGAAATAAACCCACATTGTCTGGATCTGTGGAGGGAGAAGAACCTTTGAGAATATCACTGATCTTTGGGTCTGAAGATATCTGACCATCTATAGATCTGGAATTCGCGTCCTGCTCTTGTCTGGAGCCCTTCAAGGTCATGTGAGTGAGTTTTATCATGGAAATCCCCAGCTTGGCGAATTGATTACGAGCCAGCGCCGTGTCTTTGTCGCTTAGTGGCTTAGCCTTTCCCATCTTGGAAAATGTCCACGTCAGTTCCATGTTGTTCGCAAGTTGCTCCTCCTGGCTCAAGTTGTGAATGAGGCTCTGAATCTTCAAGACGAAGAAGATCGTGATGAGAGCCAAGACGAAAGTAACCAACTTTTTGAAGTGTCGACGTTTCCATGTCACAATTTTCCCATGCACTGATAGCAGGGATGTGCGATGACCTGCCTTCATTTTATGCATCGTAAATTCAATTTCTAAACCTTGCCTAATCTCGAAGAAACGCCTCCTGCAAAGGAGAATACCATTTGATCTGATTTTCAGCGAAGCAAAAAAAAAAAATAAATTCAGGTTTATTTTAAAAGAATAGTATGTTTACAACAAAAACGCTCATTTGTGTCAGAGATCAGCAAGAAAATCCAACGCACGAAGCCCTACCTTGTAGTTCGTAGACCACTCGCCCGTAACACTCACTGACCTGGCGCTCACGAGTATAGAGACGTAACGGTCGCAATACCATTTCCTCGGGAGACTGCTCTCTTACATTTCGGTCCTATGCTTAAAGGTTCCAGACCGATGGAGAGAAAATGGACTCTGGCCAAAAGGCTGTGAAAGAAATAATAAACCCGGATTGCAAAGAGGCCCTTTACGTAGAAATGCTTGGCTGGCTGCTCATAACACGATTACAGTGCCGTACCCGTGCTCATTCTCAGTGCCAGGTAGTTTTAAAAATTCATGAGGAGCAAGGGGGTGATAATAATGTTTCCTTCGGGACTCACACTTCGGGGGGGACAAATGGCGATGTTGCAACACGAAAAGAATGTATTGACGTAACACCTTGTCATAGTCAGTGATGACAGAATGGCCGAACTGAGCTTTAAAAAATGGAGGTGGTTGTACTAGTGCAACTGCTAAACTAAATGTTTCACCGCAACATACAGACAACCAAAATGGCAATATTCATGGGACATGGTGTTACTTATGGATTTCAAAATGTCGTATATCGCTGTTGTGAGTTGGTGCGTAATGTTGAAAGCTTCACTACATCTATGTATGGGGTGGGATAACTGAACTATTTTTCACAGTTAATCGAAACACAAATATATTGGCCGTTAGACGAAATTTGCATGCCACTAAAACGGCTGATGCAAAATACAAGACCTTGTGGGAGTATGCCTTTGGAGCAGTGAATTAGTACACATGTTTTCATAACGTAGTTTCTCAATCTGTAATGTGGAGGCGTTTTGCCCTCACAACATTGTTTGTGTTGACGTTTCCTTCAGTCCCCGCGCTACCATGTTATCTAAGGGCGTCAATCACGTACATCCATAAAACGTGGGTGGTTGGCGGATGCTCTGGTGTGGTTTCTCCTTCTGTCCTATACATCTATCGTCCTTATCTTCCCTCTTTTTTTTAGAAGGGGGGGGGGGTGTATTTTTTGTTTGGTACTCTCTTGCAACTCCTCTAATCTTCTGCACTTATATGACCTTATTGTGTTGCAAGTGCCTTAAAACTTTTAGTAAAACTAAACATCCAGAAAACTCTTGAGTATTTTCCCTTTTCTGTCTGACCGTGTCTGGGGTCAGCGCTGTCAGTACCTGTAGCTATCTCCAAACTCTCACTTCCTCGTCTGTCATTTTCCTAACTCTGTGGTGAGTATTTTAGCGGGTGGGGTCGGGGCATGCAGCAGCTGTCTCGGGGAGCTCCCTTGGGGCTTGTCACGGGGCTCCAGGTGGCAGTTTGTGGTGCGGATGCTGAAAATAGAGACACAAATACAAATATGTGTGGAAAAAAATGTAATTTGGTTTTGTTTCATGTTTGTGTTCCCCGTCTCCCGCCCCCACTCACCTCCACCCCCTCGCTCTCTCCCTCTCTCTCTCTCTCTCTCTCTCTCTCTCTCTCTCTCTCTCTCTCTCTCTCTCTCTCTCTCTCTCTCTCTCTCTCTCTCTCTTTCTCTCTCTCTCTCTCTCTCTCCCTCTCTCTCTCCTCTCTCTCTCTTCCTTTATTTCTCTGTCTCTCTCTGTCTCTCTCTGTCTCCCCCCTTCTCTCCCCCCCCCCCTCTCTCTCTCTTTCCTGCTTGTTTGGCTTGTGTAGGAATGGGAAACTATCGGAAGAAAAGGTGTAGGGAGGGGGTGATAGGTTTGCTTTTAGATGATCTGATCATGTGACTCGAAAAAGAAAGAGAGCCAGAGAGTGTGATTGTGTGTGTGTGTGTGTGTGTGTGTGTGTGTGTGAGAGAGAGAGAGAGAGAGAGATATTTTTTAATATATATATATATATATATACATATATATATATATATATATATATATATATATATATATATATATATATATATATGTATACATAGGGAGAGAGAAAGAGAGAAAGAGAGAGAGAGAGGGGGGGGGTGAGATGAAGAGACAGGCTGACAGACAGACAGACAGTCATACAGACAGACAGACAGACAGACAGACAGACAGACAGACAGACAGACAGACAGACAGACTGACAGTGCATTATATTGCCTTCCTTACAATCCGCTTCTGTTCAATATTTTTGACTGCCTAGTTATCTTGCACAATATTCATACCCTTACTGGTTTTTAAAGTTTAACAAGCAGTAAATTCGTTACTTTACTTTACATTTCCATAGTTCTAAAAATTAAAACAACTGAGAGAGAGAGAGAGAGAGAGAGAGAGAGAGAGAGAGAGAGAGAGAGAGAGAGAGAGAGAGGGAGAGAGAACAGTAAAGAGTTAGGAAAGAAGAAGAAAAGAGAGACACAGTATGAGAGAAAAAAAGGAGTAGTACAGTGTCGTCCAAAAGAAACTTGAAAATGTGTCATCACCAAATCATCATGTTAAAGCCTCGCATTGCCTACCCATACCGCATACCAATTTAAAGCTAAATAAATTCTGCATAATCTTACACAATACAAATTCATCTGTAATAGGAGACGCCCAAGATATAGTCATTCAAAATTGACTTTAAAAAATTAGGCTTGGCAAAATTGTGTGAAATCAAAGAAACGTGAAATTGTCTTCGCGCGTGTATTGGGGAAGAATCAATATTGATAGAATTGACATACATTACAGATCCAATGAATGGAGAATTTTGTATTGCAAGAAACAATATTCTATTTGAATATTTTGTGACGATAGTTTAAAACAAAACGGAAAACAGAGCAATCACAAATACCATGAAAAACTTGAGCTTAACATTAATTAAATGTGCTCATTATTATTTTGCTTAGGAGCCATTAGTTTTGTGTTTTGTATGAACCTTTGGGCATCGACTCTATTAAATGTTGGACCTAATTATCTGTCATTTCATCCCAAATGTCACATAGAGTTGCAAACAAAGGGTCTGAATTGGGAGCAAAGTGGCGTTTCTTCCGCTGCTGTTTCATGATACTTCACTTTTCACATACCTGCAGGATTTATATCGGGGCTATTTACTGGTGCCCACTCCAACGTTGATTTAATTTGGTTTGCCAAGAATTATCTAGTAGCATTGGTCCAATGAGAAAGTTCTTTACTATACATGAAGATATCAAACTTGGATGACACCATGACGAAAATAAGGGTAAGACATGTCGTTCTGGCACAAGCGCGAGGTAGTCAACGAAACCAAGCTGTCTAGTGATCCTCATGAGGGCGGTTCTGTTCATTCCATCCGAGACCACCCCTGACCACCCAAAACCATGGCAGTTTCGTGGCCTCTGTTTTTCACTGACAGATTATTACGTTCAGAATCTAATGAACAAAGTCCATATGCAAAAAAGATTTCGTGCTCGACACGAAACCATTAGCTCCTAAACAAGAACAAATTAATGAGTACATGTTATGTTAAGTCCTGGTTTTGTGTAATATTTGTAACTGCACTGCTCTGTTCTCCAATCTCTTTGAAAATATCACTTAGAAGATGATGTTCATTGAAGGGACCCTTATATTCTCTTTTCAGTTGAGATTCAATAAAAGTCCATTCCACCAATGTTCATACACTTCAATATACGCGCGATCACACTTTGCGTTTCTTCGATTTCGCACAATTTTGCAAAGTCTGATTTTTTAAAGCTCAATATTGAGTGACCATATCTCGGGCGTCTCTTAACATAGATGAAATATCAGTGTGTCAGATTATGCAGAATTTATATAAAATTGGCATGCTGCTGTAGCGGGTAGTGCAAGCCTATAGCACGATGATTTGGTGATTACATTTTCAAGTTGTTTTTTTTTGGGGGGGACGCCACTACATAAGAGAGAAGAGAGACAGTATAAGAGAGAAAGAAAAAGGGTGCGAGTGGAGGAGAGGGGAATTGAAAGAGAGTTGGAGAGACATGCAGAGACAGACAGACAGACAGACAGACAGACAGACAGACAGACAGACAGACAGACAGACAGAGAAGCACA